ATGCCTGACATATCCCTTTGATCTTTATGGTTAACTAAAAATTTTAGCAATACTCCTTTCAAAGGAAAGTCAGATACAATGGTACAAAGACAATGTGCAAAACATGTATAAGAGATTGTTTTTTTCTTCTTTCAGAGAAGAAATGGAATGGCATATATGGAATAATGGTCATAACATCACAATTTCTGCCAGTCTAGGCAAGATACCACAGGTACGCCATGATTTTTGTCAAGGATGGTTCTCAATCTTCAATAGCTTCACAGTTCCCATTGGAAATAGATCAGGTCATAAGCAACCTAGTAAGCACAGTACCAGAATAAACATATAAAACATAGTGTCCCAGCCTTTATACCAAAAAACCCAGACTCAAAAGCCATCTGAGTTATTCCCACAACTACTGTAAAAACCTTTGGATTTCCAAATCCTCTGCAGTTAAAATGAAAAGACAGATAGAAGCAGAAGTGATATTAAATTGGGTGTAGACACTCAAGACTTAAAACAAAAATCCCCAAAGATGATATTTTTATTCATTTGAAAGAGCTAGGGTTTGGTGTATAGCACTTAGGACATAAAAATGTAACACCCATTTGGGTGAGAGGTCTCAAGGTGGAGAAGGAAACCCGTCCCTTGCATAGACACTTCTATCAAAACCCTAATCTTTATTTTGGTTTTTGGAACTATCACTTAAAATATCCCATTTGGTTTTACAAACAAAACAGGATTTCAGCTTCAAATTTAACAGGCACGGTGACACCATGCAAATACTAACACAGAGCTACCCAGATCTTTAAATTCTGTTGCTTCACTTCCTGACTAAATTTTCTTACATAGCTTGACACCAACATCTAAAATGATGTAGATCAGGTAATAAACAGGGAATTTTAAGTAGTCTGTCAAAGTAAGTGACATTTATATCATCTTAGTCTCAAACTCTCATGCAAAGTTCCATCCAAAGCAATTTCTTCATTATACAATGAAAAACTAAGTTACCTTGCCCATTGAGAGATGTTGCATAATGTCCCACACCAGTTAGTAGGTTTTGCATCATTACCAGCATCAGCGCTTAGTGCTTAAGAACAACTGTTTCTTTGTTAGAAATATTTTTTTCTTGTTGAAAAATAAACTCTTGCCAAGAGACATCAAGTCAACTGAGACCTCTGATGTTTTCTTTGTAACCTGCTGAGTTTTCAGCAAAACCAATAGGCCACAGAATGACCTTCAAGCAAGGTCTTGCTCCAGAGGCTGGTGAGTGCTGTAACTTCAATACACCCAAGGGCAATAATACCACCACAAAAGGAACTCCCTTTCAGGTTTTCAAAGTAGCAGAGATGACGTAGTGATTTTGGATTACTATCACTCCAATTAAAAACCCATAATCAAACAGTGCTATACAATGTGTGACAATCAAGAAAAAAAACATGATGCAAGGAAAGAAAAACATTGTAAAAAGAGATGCTGTGAGAACGTATCCTTCTGAAACTCTGTCACAAATAGCTCACAAATGTTGAATGTTAAAAAGACTTAAATTTCTTTGTACTAAGAGAAGCTTTAAAACACTACATCATTTTCTAGACTCATGCATCACCACTGAAACACCTTCACCTTTTAATCCTCGTTACTTATAAAATAGGCAATCTTTCCCCTTCTAAAAGACTATCACTGGCACCATCCAAGACTTCTTACCACTTTTGCTTTAAGCTTGATGTCTATTAGAAGACCAGAATGGGGACAGGTTTTCTCGCCCTTTGAAAGCTTTTTGATTTGTTATGTAACTAAACATGTTTGTACAGCTTTCTCCATATCTACAAATTCTTAATCCACAGGATGTCAGTTCAGGCAATAATTATATTAATAAATTGTAGACAGTCTAAGAAGGAAAGAAAGATGGAGAGACATTTGGAATTAACGTGCTGTGAATCAGCCCTGCATCATCCTTTGTCAGTGGAATTAGCAGGCTTTTCTTCCCTCTTCTTGTTGCCTTTTAGTAATAATTTTCAGTGCATTTGACACATTTCATTTCACTCAATGCACTGAACCCTAATACAAGAGAACACCAGTTTGTCAAACATATGTTACTGAGGATGCATACCAGTTAATCTTAGGCAGCTGACATTGTCAAAGACAAGCCACCCTGGTAAGAGCTACAGAAATGCTAGGCAAAGAGGAGAGAGGGATAAGAACACAAGCACAACTGCTGAGATACCAAGCAACACAAAAGGCCAAAGCCTCCCAATTCCTGTCTCGATTCCCCCCAAATCACAAAAATCTCACAACAGTTTCAAAGCACACATTTCCACTGTTGTTGACAAGAGGACTTGCAAGCCTGAAGAGACTAGTTGTCCTCTTGGCATAGGATTCAGCATCAGTTTCTTGAATTATGTAACTGATCTCTTGCACATAGGGAATCACATTGTTATCCTTACTATTAATTTCTGCAATGTCACAAGACAGAAAATATCTGCTGAAACATCCTTTCAAAAAGAAAAATACATGAAAGACACTCTCCAGGTACACTCTTTACTGAAAACAATTAAAATATTTTAGTATTTTACTCAGAAAAAATTGTATACAGAAAATTCTATGTACAAAATAAATACAAAATTCTATATTCTAATTTCCAATAATCAGTAACAACAGATACTTTTCCTATTAACAACTTCAAGATAGAACTATATATGCCATTCCACCAATGAAAAAGGTTCTGAGAAGGAATTTGTTCTTTTTGGATCAGAGAAAAACAATCTGAAAAAATACCTCTAGTGAAAACAACCTTTGTCAGCACATTTACAATAAATGCTTTTTCCCTTTGTATGACTTCAGGAAGTAATTCCCTTTTTTTTCAGGAAAGGGTTAGCTATTATTTGGGATTTACAACATTTAATTACTTTAATACTTTAATTTTATACTTTAATTAATACTTTAATACTTCAAATTCTCCATGAGGGACAATAAAGAGGCATTAGTAGGAGAGAACTGAATTAAGACCCCACTGAATGTTTTGATAGTGATACCTCTAGTCCAAAATCCAACATCTGAGAAATTCAGGTTAGAAGGCAAATATTTTGATGCACAGCAGCCAGTTCAGAATAAACTCTCTATAGGTTCTGCAGCTGACATTATTAATTCAGGAAACTTCACATCACAGAGCTGCTTTCTTCTCACATAGGCAGCCTGTTCTGTTCTACAACAGTTAGTAGATCCTCGAAAAACTTCTCTTTTAAAGACAAGTGGTACTAGAGAAAAATCACTCTTCTTCAAAGCAGAAAAAAGAGGAATAAGAAGAAAAAGAAGCATCATTTCCACCTAATCCATGATATAATCTATTGCACTGGAAAAAAAATCATTGCCGTCTTTATAAGGAGACACAGCACAAAAATCATCCTGAAGCAGACCAAGTTTGGAAAAGTAACATCTTTGAGCAGAAAATAACTGTATAGTCCAACACTAACTTCATAAGAAACCACCCTCCCAGCAGGCACTGGAAGGACTTTTTAGTAATGAAAAGCAAAGAAAATAACAGCAGATTTGGGAGGGTGGGTATAAAGGGAATGCAGGGATTTTGTTTTACAGACTTCAGCAGGTCCCCTTGTTCCTGGCTCTACACCTAGGCAGTTCCCTAAGTCTCTACAGAAGGAGGATTTCATCTCTTGGAACTAGTGTGAGAGAACAAGGCATTGGTGTTAGACAGAAGAAGATCGTTTGAGAACTAAAATTTTCCAAGCACCTTACATTGCTTTCACTGAATGGAACAAATACAAGTTTAGGACAGTTAATGCTAGACTCAATACAAAATCTGCACTTCATTTGAGTGAGTCTCTGACTTTGTCTTCTACTGCAGCAATGGAAGAGACATTTAATCTTATCTGCCTCAAATAGAGAGTTTATCCTACTTCCCAGAGAAACTCTGCCAAGAAGCATGCATGTAAAGCAATCAGGACTGCAAGGGAGACACCAAAAGCTTTTCCTCTTTTGAAATGCAGTCAGCATTCTCAGCTGCAGGGTTGATGAACATACAAAATTAAAAGAAATAGAAGCACATAATTAGCTTGACTTTAATCAATCGCCAGTAAGGTCACTGTTAATCTGACTAAAATTAAATCTAGAAATTCCTTCAAGAGCTTTGCCTTAAGTTTATACTCCCCTACTCCCTTTCACAATTCATAATTGGGTTTTTCAAAAATATAAACAAAGACTTGACCCCTTCCATGCATCTGTGTCAGCTTTAGAATGTATATTCTCTTTGCAAAACATGTCCACATCTTGCAGTGGTTTCTATGGCTAATGCTTATACTGCTATGAAAAAAGAATGCTTGGCTACTAGAATTTTTAATGACCTGAGGAGAAAAAAAAAAATCATTAGTTCTCTTCCTTCTACTCCCCAAGAAAAACAGGGAATTTGAAACTAATGAACTAATATCCACAATAAAAAGGAACATTTAATAGTCTAGAACAGAGCTTTAAATTTAGCATGTTATTCCTGTCATACCATGAACCACAATAAGGAAAAGGGCTTCTTTTACTTCAATCAATACAATCCCTTAATAATTCAAACTTCAAAACATTTACATAAAATATTAGCATTATTTACTTGTAATTGACAAACTGAGCCAGCAAGGTAATCAATCACTTTTCAATTACTTGTGGCAACTAGATAAGATGATAACGCATGAACTAATAATTGACAGTAGTCACCAAATGAACAGGTTCTTGCCTTATGGGAGTAATGAGCTTTTGGGTTCCATTTTTAATAGCCACTTGCAATCATAAATACATATTTTCTCTTCTGCTTCATGAAGAAGTTTATTTATATTTATAAACTGAGATATGCTCACCACAAAATCATGCAGAGTAACTTCTTTTCGCAAGGCCCATACACTGCGTTTTATGTTATGGAATGTGTTAGTGCAATTGCAGGTGTAACAAGAGTGTTAACTGACTTATCAGTACATCACAGCAGTTTTACATTCCTGTAAATGGGCTCTGAATAATGTCATACTTACAACATCAAACTTCTGCGTGATGTTCCCCTGGACATCAAGTAAATAAACTTTGCCATAATGTGTTCCCAGTGCCAAAAACTGTGAAAGAAAGAGATTGATTACATAAACACAAAGACACCACAAGAAACACTACAGCAATGCTAAATGAATACCAGCAACACTGGGGAAATGAAAAAAGCCCACCACTTTCTATAGAGAAAGGTTATTTTAACTGTACCCACAGAATAAAACAGGGAGGGCTTCAAGCCCATATTACTGTGATAGTGCAAGTTAGCTGTCAGAATGAGTCATGAGGACCCTCATCCACTGACAACTAATGGTGTGTCCGCAGTCTGTACACACCAGCTGATGGACTGTGGCAGCAAATTAAAAATGCAGCGTGAGAGCAGGAACCAACAGAGATCTGAAATAGTTCCTAGATCCTTTCTGCAGCTTCAATCCTAATGTTTCCTGTGAGCCTTATTTTTAATTCTCCATTATCAAAATAAAAACAAAGTGTTCAAACATAGCAAAAGGCCAGCTGTAAGTCACTGGTAAAATACAGCTGAATTATGGAAGGTCTCTGACAGTGCATTTAAGCACACAGATAACTCCTGTTATCTTTGTTTTCCTTCACATAGTAACATTCCTAAATAGAATACTCCCACGACAAATACACTTCCTTGGAAATCTCTGGAGTTTCATTCTAAAAACTAGTAGCTAAATAAATAAATCTCCACCTAAATCCATACTATCTCAAACTTATTTTGATACAAACAAGAAGGGAATTGATTCTGAGAGATCTGCTGTTAATTGAACCATGTGAACTACACCTAAACAGAAAAGATAGAATTTCAGTACTACTTGATTTATGACAGAGGTTTCTTTTATTTGCCCCCTCCCCCACCCTCCCACTTTCAGCATTACTGAAATAGTCTAGGCTACTCAATTCTCTGTATTTCACTGCATGTGAGCATGCTTCATTGCAACCTATAATGAAATGCTCAAATTTACAGGCACTGCTAAGCGTGTCAGTCAGGCAGCACAATCTTTAAAAAATAACCTTACAGAAAGTCAAGGTTTAAAAGGATTTATCAAAATGGAATTGCTTAAAATGAAATTTCAGTTCAGGCACTTAAAATATGAAGCTACATTAAAAGGAGTCAAGAAAGGGAAAGAAGGGGTTCATTAGAAATTCATTCCCTGCAATGCCTTTCACTCCTGCAAGGTTGCCTTTTTTCAGGAAGAAAAAAGTCCCCCGGGTAAAAAAATCAATACTGGTTAATAAAACATCAGGTGTGCAGACATAACTAGGTATGACTATTCCACTGCACAGGCCTGCTTGAATGCACCAGGTGCCATGACGATTAGTCATCCAGTGTAGACAGCAAGCCTGGTGAAAATATGATGCTTTAGCAGCAAAAATAAAAATAAATAAAAAAAATAAAAAAAAAAAAATCTGGGGAGAAATTAGTCTGAATGCAGAAGCCAGATCTCAGGATTCCCAGCAAAGTTAAACTGCTTTAGTCTGAGCCATATTTTACATATTACTGTATAATTTTTCTAATTACAGCAATTAGTAGAGCTTTTCCTGTTCGTTCAGGGAAAAAAATCCCAAAAACCCCAACCAGAATGAAACAGAAATACCCTTGCACAACCTATAACCCAGCTTCATTTTCAAGCTCTCTGTTGGAAGAGACCTATTCCTAAAAGACTGCAGTACCTGGCTAACAATATGGCTAACAATATTGATTCTTCTCATAAATAGTGTAACTAGTTTGCTGGAAAACTGTAAGTGCTGGGATACTTCAACAGTTTTCCTGTGTTGTCATGCTTTGTGACACTATAGTAAAAGCTGTATCTGTGCACATCCTTATAGAAAAATCCAGTTAAACTCTTGGCTTTCAAAATTTACCTGAGATGCAGGAATAAAAGGTAACAGAAACAGGCTACAAACAAAGAGGAAATGCTTGCCAATTTTCCAAATATCTGTGTAACTCTAGGTTGTCAAAAACATTTTAAAAAGACTTATTGTTTTCATTCACACAGTTAAAATACAAGCTTCATCTTAAGAGCCTCCTGAGCCATAGCAACAGTCCTCTGAGGAAAAGAAACACAACACAAGTCAATCTAAAAATATAGCCAAACAATAAAGATAGATCCCTCAACAATAACTGTTTAGGAGATATTACCAGCTATGAAAAATTATACATTCAGAAAATAGCTACTATGTTTTACATACTAATAGTTGACAAACCATTAACTCATACTTTCAGATGCACTTCAGCATGCCTCAATATTCAAAAATGTTCTTCAATATTTATAAAAGAGAAGAAAACTCATAAAATACAAAAGCAATTGTTTAAGTCACTAAAGAAGAATATGAAGTTTATTCCTTTTAAGAATAAAATATTAATTCTTCTTAAAATTTCTTTAGTTTGCATTGTCTATTACTTTACCCCTATCACTCTCTGGTACATCAAAATCTCTAGCATGTGCAGTTCCTCTCTTTGTTTTTAACATACTGAATCAGGGAAGGGGGCAGGAAAGTGTTAGTATGACACCCTCCAAAAGAAAAACGTAAGAAAATAAAAAATACAGTAATTACTTTCTTCTACACTGTATTCACTTGTTTTCCACAGCTGAATATATGCTGAGCTCCTGGCATGATCAAGTTGGTCTTTACTGACATAGGCTATACAAAGGAGCACAGTATATACCAACTTCTTTTCTGAACAAAGAAAAATTAGGGCTGTGTTCTGATTTCAGTTCATAATACTGCTCATAATTAAAACTGAGTGAGAAGTTTTCTAGTAGCCTATGTAAACATCTCATCTAACAAATCACTGCATCTTGAATTCTCACCTCATCTCATTGAGAAAACGCATTTCTCACTGAAAAAATGCTTGATACAAACAAAAAGGCAATTGATTCTGAGAGATCTGCTGTTAATTGAACTATGTGAACTATTTGTTTTATCACTGAGAAAACATGGATTGTTCAATTAACCTGTGTTAATGGTGAATTTTGTTTACGTTACTGTTGCCTTGCAGTGCAACTCTAGATTTGGCATCACTTCTACACAGAAATATACTGATGCATTATAAGCACAGGCAGATACATAAAACCAGGCAGAAGTGCTATCTCAGCCACAAAGTCACATCATACCTTTTCATGCACTGTCATGCAGCTGGCTGCGTCCTTCTGGAGAATTTCAGTCACTCCATTAGAAAGCCTTTCATACTTGAGCTTAGGTTCTTCTTCACTCTCATCTTCCTAAATTTTTAGGAGCGTAAGAAAAAGGGAAGAAGAGAGAAAAAACAACAAAAATATTTAGACATTTATTTTAGATAAAAACAAACTAAAAGATATCCCAAAAGTATCACACAGCAACAGGCGAAGATGGATCACTGCGATCTCTTCACAAAAGCCATTACAATCAAAAGCCAAACTTTCAGTTTAATCATCTGAAGGGGTTTGGGCTATGCTATTTTGTTACTGGTTTTTCTTTTTACTCCAAAGTTCTGGGTGCAAAGACTGTATAGCAGCATGTCAATTCAGCTGTAAGAGGCACTTACTTGATATCTAAAAAGCAGGAAAAAATGTGCATGTGTACTTTGTTACATAAAGTTAGTAATTTGCAATTTAGAAGTAAAATACAAAAAGAATGTATATGATACTGAATGATGATAAAATAAAGTGTGCCACTGTAGCCACAATGAACTGAAAGCTGAAGCATGCACATTACAAGAAACTTCACGACCTTTACAAGATGCTGCACCTCTGTAGCAAGGATAGAGGCAAAATGCTGCGAACAAAAATAAGAAGAATCCACTAGGAATAAGTTAATTGTATCAAAACCACCAATGGGCTTATGGTAAAAAAAAAAAAATACTAAAAATATGTTTTCTGGGAAAAGGATCAGGACATAGTATATTCCTATGAATCACCATTATCTTCTGCATGTTAGGATCTTTTCCTGGTCAATACTGAAGCTTTCCTCTCTTTCTTTTCAAGCACATTAGGTACTATCACCAATCACTACTTAAATGCAAGGAAAGATCGTGGGGCAAAGAGTGAAGAGAAAGGAAACCAAGCTAAAAAAAACCAAAAACAAACAAGCAGTAAATTTATTGCTCGAAGAAGACCCAACATGTTTATCTTTTAGGAAAAGAAAATCCCAGTTGCAAATTAGCTCTTTGGCCACAGGTGTCTATCTGTAACAGACAGTCTACAGAAGTACAATGCCAGAGAGACTCCACAGGCTTCAGTAAGTCTCAGTTAATCTTACACATGCACAGACATACACAAACCCTTCTATATCCCTTGGTCCTCACTGGAAAACAGTACACCTGCAGTAATACTCTCCTACACTTGCTATTGACTGTAATGAATATATCAACACTGAGTAGGTCTCCCACATAAAGCATATCTTTTATTCTTAAGCAACCAGAATATACCAGTGCAGTGCTCTAGTTAAAAGTGCCCTCACTTCCCACTAACCACTGCCTTCCAATTCCTAAAAATGCACAGTGTCAGCCACAGCAGAACAATATTTGTGCAACACTTTCTTGTAGTCAATGATGCAAAAAATAAATTTGGAAGAGACATGTTAACAGGTTAATAAAATGCATTTTGTTTAAATTGCCTTTTCAGTACTCAAGCCAGTCTTTCCCAAGTTAAGGAGTACGGCCATTTACCATGTGTGCTACCATCATACATGGAAACATGAACATAACCTCATACAAAACACAAAAAAAGCCATATATACCTATAGAAACATCCAGTACTTAGCCCCATGCTTACAGAAATATGCTGCAAAGAGAGTCAGTTTTAAAATGTTACGTGAGAGTTTTATGACAGAATACAAATGAGATTAATACAGGGATGTCAGCAGCACATGACGTAGGAGGATGAAGTGAGGTGTCAAGATGTCCACCAAGAAACAATTTTATTCAGTAAATCTAACACTGAACAAAGTTGTTACTAGACAGAATGACAATGTCAAATTACAGGTCTGTATATAAATCAGTCAAATTCCTCATGCCTACAGATCGTTAATAAATGGCTACAAGGTAGAGGGAGGAGGTAAAGTCAAAGTAAAAGCATACATGTGATGGAAGGAGGGCATAAGGAAGTATGTGCCCATTTTATAACAATTAATACATTACTGCACTTTATACATTGCTTACAAAGATTACACTTGAAATGCATGGGCAGTCATTGAATAAATTCATAAAAGTAAAAATTGAACTCCAGTCATCTAGTTTTTATAAGATCCCACATGTTGCTGGGGCCTGGACATCCAATGTGCAACCAACATGAAAAGTTAATTCTAGTCTCTTGAGTAGTTTGCATAAAATCATTCATCCATGGACCATTAGATAAAGTTACTGTAAATAAGTTTTGCCTGTCTTATTTATGAGTGAAAACTAAGTAATTTTTTCTGCACACACATATACAAAAAATATATACTTTCAAAAGTCAGTGCACCGAAGCATTCTGCCAGGCTTCAAAGTAAGTAAATAAAATGAAAACTCCCAAATATTAGGCATGATGATGTACCTATTTCACGCTTTCTTGACAGGTATCTTCTATGTTAAATAAAAGTCAAGCTAAAAGGTGAATTGAAATGAGGTTGGGGCACTTTACTGTAAACAAAATGAAATAAAAAGGTGATTTGCAAAAATTCAAAATTTGTCTACAGCTTCAGACTTTGATATATTAAATGCATTTGACGATCTCTTATTTAGAGTATCAGGGTTTAATAATTTTAAAGGTACTTTTCTATAAGGAAAAGCTTTTATGCAGTTTGAACTTCTAAAGTAAACACAAGCCAGTGTTAATAAAAGCAAATCAATAATTTTTGTTAAATTTTAATAATCTTGAAAACCCACAAATTAAACCGTGAGCAGCCTGAGTTGAGATGTCAGTTAGCTGCGTTTCTATGACAACTCAGAGGAGTAGTACCAGTCCTGACTTGCAGCAAAGCTAAGATATAAACAGAGTGACATTTACCCCATACAAGAGAACTCACAGCTTTCCTTTTTAAAGGGAAAAAATAATAAAAAAATCAATTGCTGAACTTAAATGGATTTTTAATAAGTGTATGGCACTTTCAATTAAACCCTCCTAGAGGATTCTAAACATTTGAAAATAAAATTTTGTAACACTGCTTTTTGTACCACTACTTAATAGTACTTCAATATTTAATGCCTAAAATTATCTGAAACAACAATACTGAATTTTGAGATTCTTGACAAATGTTTTAAGAGAAAAAGAAATATTCACTGCACAAAATGTGTAAAGCACTCCACACACGGCAGCCTTAAATTCTGAAAGCGAAGGAGACCCACAGAGCTGTCAGGAGGAAGGTACCTTTGTGATGTTGTAAAATAAATAATGACAATTTTTCAACGACAATGAATGCTAACTTGAAACTCATACTCCATTTGATTTTCTACTTGCCTTTTAAAGCTAAAGCTAGCAGTCATATTGCTAAAATATGCTGTAAAGAACAGGTATCCATAAACATTTCCCATTGAAAGCACATTTCCAACTGAATAAAATTACCCCTAAGACTAATACAAACCCCTTCCTACTGAGAGCTCTTCCAGTTGTCATTGCTGAACACTTCTGAACTGAAAACAAATTCCTTTTCATTCACCCAGCGCCTACTCAATACCAACTCTTCTTCTGGAACCAATTTACAAAAGTAATAAGAGCCTCAAATGTGTTACAAGCTCTCTACTTGTAGTGGCCAGTGCCACTGCAAGGGATGCTCACCAGCCTGTCTGAACCCAGGTTCACAACCTTCTTCAGGTATTCTGCCCCATTTTTTCCTAGCTTTGCCTACAGGAACTACTGTGCTGGAATCATGAGTGAGAAAAAAATAAAAAAAAATCCGAAATCAGTCCTTGTGAAGAAAATTTCCAGAAGGAACCTGTGGGCAGTTCCCAGAGTTATTCCATTAGCCCACATCTGCTCCTGCAGCAGAGGATCTGCCCACTGGACAGTCTGTCACATGAACTACATGCTCTATTGATTACAGATACTCTAATTACGCTACAGGCACTGACAGCAAAGTGTCATCCTTCCCACACAATTTGCCCTCCAATTTTTTCAAAGCCTTTATGGAAATAAATGTTGTATACATTATAAGGCAAGTGTCCTTTCCCTTTGCCGCACATCGTCTGTCCAGTCCCAGCTAGAATTCCAGTTATTCTAAGTGTCCATTCCAGCCTTGTTTATGCCTGCAAGTTTTGATCCTGTAAAGCCTTTAAACTCCAATACAAAGATAGCTGAAGTCCATCATTGAAGCAATTTCAAAAAAGACACACTCACAGCCTACTCCTACAAGGCCCTACTGTCACAGGACTTCTTAAAAGACTAGGTCTGAAAAAAAACAAAACCAAAAAACCCTACAGGTAATTTTTTCTTTTATTACATGCTTTATTTCAAGTTTACATTGATTTCAGAGATTATAAGAAAAATGTTGATTTACCTCATTTCCTCCTGGCCAGGACAGGGTTAATTTTTGCAGTAGCCAGGGGACACATGGCTGGTATAGGGGCTATCCTACACCATTTCATGTCATTGCCAGGTGTGTGGAGGGAAGAGGACCCTTCTGAGGAGAAGGGGTTCTTCTGGTTGAGCAGACGACAGGCTGGGTAATGCTGGTTTCAAGCCAGAGTAGCAGGTGAGTATGGGTGAGTATTTTTTGCATGTAAATCACTCTGTTTTGTACGCTTTAGTTATTAGTACTGTCGCTGTAACTGTTCATTTTCTTATCTCATTGCTGTTTCTAGTAAATTGTTCTTAACCCACCATCCTTCCCTTTTGTGCCTCCTACTCTCCAGCCCACCGAAAGGGAAGGGGAGGAGGGGAGCAAGCAAGAAGCATGTGGTTTTAGTCTCAGTGGTAGCATTAAAGTGAGAAGCACCATTCCTAAATTGCAACACCCCCTAGCTTGCTGTAACTCAAACCAAACCAAAAAACCCCATTTTGCTGCACAAAGCGTAACTTTATATTACTGAAAAATATTACTGAAAAAAAGTGAGAAGAAACTACTTGGAAATTTGTGAGACTAACTTTTCTTGACATTTAATACAGGTCAGACCTTCAGAAACCCTAGTATGAAATCAGCATTTTTATTTATTCCAATTGTCATCATTATCACACAGGAAAAAAAAAAAAATTAAAGCAACTAGTTAGAGCTCCAGAATTACTAGTTTACACACTACATGAAAATCTCCAGTAGAACCAAAGAAACCAAC